GTAAGAGTATGACCGAAAATCCAGGGAGGGAAAGGAGGGAGGGAGAAAGAGCAGAACCCAGGCAGGAAGAAGGGGAAGGAGGCCACAGGCACAGCTGCCCCTCGAGAGCAGCTCCCCCATCCCCCAGTGGGATGCCAAGTGGGGGCCTTTAATAACCTTCCCAGGAAGGAACTCTGAGCTGCACCAGTCACTAACATTTCTCAGGGAAAACGTTTCCTGGTTAACTCTGGAAAGATGGACTGTTTTTTACAAAGGCGCTGCACCCCCAAACCTCACTACAACACTTAGTTGAAGATTAGAGCTTCCAGCCCTGTCCTGAGCATGGGGCTCTTAGTTGTGGAAAGCACAGGACAGGCTCCTCAAGGGAAGATGGGTGCTAAGAAATGCCATTGGTGGCCAGAACTCTAGGAGAAAGTAAGAACCCTGCTCTTGAACAAGCTCAGCCTGCTGGTGCTATGGGGCCACATAACCCTGACCATAGCTGTCAGGCCTTGCCCATCCACAGGTGTGGTCATGCTCCCCAAAGAATGCCCAAAGCCCCACTGAAGAGGCCAGCCTCTACCTCTGATGAGCTTGTGTGGGTCTTTTCTCCTCCCATGACCTGACTATGGAACCAGTCTGAGCTCGCCATCATGTGTCCTTTCTCCATCTGGGATGCAGGTCCCTATCTGAGTGGCTATACTGAGGGACCTCTAAAATTTAGGCATATCTAGGAAATCTGAGAAATCAATGAGACTACCTGGTGATCCATGTGCAAAGAAGAAAAACAGAACGTGCTGGAGCATAGGGACCTTGGACTGTGGGAAGAAGTTCAATAGATAAATTTTTGGAAGGATTTTTTGGAAAGGTCGGTGAGGGTGGGCTGATTCTGACAAGAGCCCCAGAAAGAGGAGTTGATCAGAATAAAACTCCATGCAGCCTCTACTAGGTGGTGTGAGCAGAAGCAGCCCTGTTTCCTAGACTACACCCCAGCATCCAATGTGTCTCACAACGGGCCTCAGCATAAATGTCACCTCCTCCAGAGGACTTCCCAGCGCCCCAGACTAGGTAAACTCTCCTGTCACATATTCCCACAGGGCCCTGTCGCTTCTCTCTCTCTCTTTTTATCAACTTTCTAGAAATTGCCTTTTGACTCCATGGTCTCCTCCACTGGATATAGCCACCATGAGCCCAGGGACCACATCTGTTTTCCAACTGGTGTGGTGTGCCCAACTCCACAGTGCCAGAGGCCACCTGGAGGACCTGGCTGGAGCTCAGAAGCAGCTGCAGTTTCCACGATTTTGCAAGCAGGTATAAAAGCAGAGAAAGGCAGCATCCGTGTGCCTGCTGCCCTCAAATGGGCCTATCGGGGAAAGGAGGACTGCACGCTTGAGCATCCTAAGCTAAGGGTACCAAGGTCATGGCTGCATCTCTCCCATATCAGGTTAAAAGTGTATGGACTAGGAGCTGCAGATGGATGTGTATTAAAGCAGAGGCCCTAATGGAAGCAACAACGTTTTTCCAGCTTTACAGATGCTGTCACATGTCATTACAATATTCATTGTCTTTTCTCCTGACTTAAATCATTTCCTCAGCCACGAGACCATCAGTTCAGAATCCGATGTACAGCTATCAGAGAGAATAACAGACACTTGCTGCTCCAACCTTGAGTCCTAAAATGAGATAATAATTCTTCTGACACCTCAGAGAATATTCCGTCAATTGGTCAAAAATGGATGAAGTCATCTAAATACATTTCCAGGACCCAGCAGGAATTGAGTTAAGCACATTTGTTTAAAAAAAAAAAAAAAAAAACTGAAGAGGGAGGGAGGAGATTGCTGATTCTTAAACCCAGAAAAGTCATGGATTTACTACTTGACCGCAGGCTAAAATCATATTAATTTTATTTCAAATGTATGTATCCAAGTTAAGAGAGGTTGTCGTGAAAGGTTTAAATCTTAAATCAAATGTTCTTTCCAATAAGGTCACTAATGACAGGTTGAAATGTTGCAAGGGATGTAGTACATGATGGATGTTTGTCATTTATTCAAAGAAAAATGCTACAGTGAGCCTAAAGGGTCATTTCCCAACCCCAAGGTATTCTCAAGGGGCAAAGCTGCCAAGCGATGAAATCCAAATTGCTCTCCTCCCCTCCTGCCATGTTAATTACTCCTGAACTTTGCAAGGACAAGTATCTTGCTTGAACTCAGCGGTCTCCCCACACTGCCTAAGGAACTGAGAGCTGGACACATTCCATCACCAAACCCAGACAAGGGATGAGGAATAGGAAACTTAGCCAGACAGAGAAGTCTGGAGGCTTCTTCTGAGCAGGATGTTTATGGACTTTTCTGGATGTTTGTATTTGGAGATAACAAAGGTGACCATTGTACCAGAGGTGGATATGGATTCAAATTCATAAAGGCAATATAAGATCTGTCAGAGGACTGTTAACGTAGTAATATCACCACTATGGGGGCTGGAGTTTTAGCTCAGTAGAGTGCTTGCCTCTCAGGCACAAGGCCCTGGGTTCAATCCCCAGCACCACAAAAAACAAAACAAACAAACAAACAAAATGTCACCACTACATTCCCAGCATCTTTAACAGGGATGACCAGACTTTTGTAGACTCCTTGAACTCCCTATAAACAATCTAAGTTTCCAAAGAATAGGTGTCAAAACCCAGGAGGGAAGTAGCGAACATATGGGTGTAGGCAAGGTCAAAGCCTGACCCTTCACTTCCATGTGTAAAATGCGTAACCTTCCCCTAGTGTCCCAAACATTTCCCAGAATTCTCTCCTTCACCACAAAGTCTGTTGGTAGGTACCCTCATTGAGAAGTAACCATCATAACTAGCTAGAAACAGTGGTAGCTCAGAGCTACTCCCTATGTTATGGGACAAGACCATACATGCCAGGGCCAGGACTGGGAGCTTCCATTATTAGTTCCACTGTTCTCTCTCCTACATGGTACCCTCTCACCCAGCACCCAGCAGTACCCACCAGTCACCCAGTACAGGCATGTGTTTACTCCAGGAAGCCTGCAGTAAGCCTGTGGTTCCACAGGAAATGACTGGCCAATCAAATGACTACCCTGGGCTGGGCTTTATCAAGAAAGTCACCTACAATGAAATGAAGCCAGGGTCCTCCTTGGAGCAAATAAATCAGCTCTTGTATAATGCAAAAACATTTTCTTGAGTACTGCGAACAAGAGTTCATAGATACCCAAAGAAATGGCCGTATTATGATGAAACTGCTGCTCTGTGCCCCTCTAGTCACCAATCTTCCATAATATAGTGTTTTCTGAAACTTCATGGAAAAGTCATTATGGAAGGATGATTCTCTCCTCATGGTAACTTGCTGACGTGAGTAAGTCATCTTTGATATCATACCAAGTGGCATTTGGGGTTGAAAAACTATTTGTAATTCACAAATCATCTTAGATGAGCAACTTCAAATTGTATTAGCAAAGTACAAAATCTGAGAAGGCAAATAGCAGGTCAGTCTCTTTTCTTCACACACATTAAGAAAATAGCTCTCCCCTCTCTGCTGTGGTCTTTCTAGATGGCTGGAGTCAAAATCAGGTACCCTAGTTTTTAGCAGTCCTACAGATGGTCAGCTTTAACTAGGCTTTGGGAAACTCATGCTTCTGTCTTGGAGGACTCCATGTACCTGGGCTCTTTTGCAAGGAGGGACCTTGGGGATAATTTTATCTTACAATATCATTTTACAGATGACGAAAACTGAGGCCAAAAGAATGACCCAAAGGCAATCGAAAATTAAAGGTATGAGCTAGAAAAATATAACTCTAGATAAGGCAGAGGGATGGGAGGGGAAGAGAGGGGGTATGGGGTTAGAAATGATGGTGGAGTGGGATGGACATTATTATCCAAAGTACATATATAAAGACATGAATTGGTGTGAATATACTTTGTATACAACCAGAGATATGAAAAATTGTGCTTTATGTGTGTAATAAGAATTGCAATGTATTCTGCTATCATATATAAATTTTAAAAATTAATAACAAAAAGGCATTCATTACACTATAAAAAAAGAGAGATGGGGCTGGGGATGTGGCTCAAGCAGTAGCGCACTTGCCTGGCATGCATGCAGCTCCGGGTTCGATCCTCAGCACCACATACAAATAAAGATGTGTCCACTGAAAACTAAAAAATAAATATTAAAAAATTCTCTCTCTAAAAAAACAAAAAACAGAGAGACAATAAAGTAACCAAAGGCGAAACAGAGCAGCAGGTGATGCTCCTCACAGTGAAATAATATATTCAACAGGTTTTCTTTCTTGAGGATCAATGTCACTTCTTTGTGCCACCAAGCTAAACTCTGAGCCTTCTAAGACCCTTCCAAAACAAAATTTAAAACATGCATTGTTAGGCTTATTTTACAGATGAGGAAGCTGAGGCTGAATTGTCCAAGGCCACACAACTAATAATACACAGACCAGAATCCTAATAGAGTTTGGCCTGACTCCAAAGTGCACTGTTGTCATCCTTCCTCAGCCTGGGGAGTGTACACAGGCTCATGGCTGAGAAGTTCTGGAAGCTGAAGCTCAGCTGGACTTTGGAAATGTGATTGCAGATAAGCTGCTGAGCTCCTGATCCTTGCTGTCCCAGATAAGAACCCCTCCGCTTAGCTGCCAGCAGATCCTGCAGCAGCTAGATGCTTCAGACCACCTGAAGATGCTGCAGTCACTCTTCTCACCATTGCTCAGAAGAAGGTGCCTTTTATGCATGGAGTAGCTAGGAGTCCCTGTCTTTAACCTGTCACCACCATGCCTTAGCCCCTTTCCTCTGGCATTAAGAGGCCAGCCAGTTTTGAAGACCCCTATCAGGAGACTAGAAAAACTTCTGAGACAAGAACTGGGGCAAAGGTCTAGGAGAGGCATGAGACTCAGACCCATGTGACTCAGACTGGCACAGATGTCCTCCAAACCAGGCTGCCTGCCTCCCCTGGGCCCCAGGCTTCACGCTTCAGGAGCCTGCTCACTCAGAGGAACCACAGACTGCCTCTGTGTGCTGGGGGAAAAAGAAAGCAATTGATTTTGTTTGGGAGAATTTTATGTTAGTCCTTTTTATTATCTCAAGAAGGGTCATGAAATCCTCTAAAGCAAAATCAATTACAGCCACGCTCTGGGAGGCCAGAGCAGCCCTTTGGCTTATGAGCAACAGGCAGGTCTCCAGAGGAGAAGCCCCAGCCTTTGAGTTGCTGCTGGTCTGCTCCCTGTTGGCTTGGATCCAGGTCACCCTCTGCTCTTCATAAAGCTCTTTTGTCAACTTACCAAGGGACCTGCCCTGAAAGCCACAGCGTGGGGCAGGGACAGACACCTAGTCCAAGCTGGACCAATCGATTTGCTCTCCCAGAAGTTGGGAAGTCAGACTCAGAGCCAGTTAGCCTCCAAATGTGGGAAGAACAAAAGAGACATTACCCTGGTGGTTGGGGATGGTGCATGATCAGCCGGGCGTTCCAAGAAGGAAAAAAGGAAAAACCGTCTGAGCAGAGAAAGAAACAGTCGACAGGTGAAATGAATGACAATGTTCTGGAGAACCTTCAGACCCTGGCACTAGAGCCCTTTGACTGGACTTGGCTTCTGGTAGGAACTCAGGTAGATCAATAATCTCCCTTTTCTCAGATAAGCTGGTTCAAGCTAGTTTGTGCTATTTGCAACCTAATATTCAAAGTGTTTTTTTTTTTTCTTTTTTTCTTCTATTTGTTTGGTAAATGTAGGAAAAATTCTCCCACTCATTTGTTTAGTTGTTTTCATTAAGAAATAGTATGTTATATGAAATATCCAAAATATGGAAGTCCATAAATACAGAAAACATATGGGTGGTTGCCCGGGGCTGAGGGAGGGGGAACAGAGACCGCCTGTACAGTAAGGTCTGGGGTTTTGTCTAGGGGGTGATGAAAATGTTTTAGAACTTGATACAAGTGTTGCACAATAGTAAGAGTATACTAAATACCATAGAATTCGACACTTTTAGATAGTTAATTTTAGTTGTGTGAATTTCACTTCAAGCAATGTGCTCTACCTTTAAATACCAAGAAGTCCCATTACATGCAGAATTTGCCAGTAACTTGCTGAAGTATCTAATTAATGTCTCCATTTGTTCATTGGTCGTACAGATTATGTCCCAAGCACTGTGCGGAGGGCACTACAGAGCACAAATGGACCCAGTCCCTGCCTAAGAGAGCTGAGAGTGGACAGTTAAGGAGCTGTAACACTAAAGCACTGCAGGGGGTGTCCTCTGCTGCCCTGCAGGACCCACCCCTACCTTTCCAACAAAGAATGTTTTCTCTGCTTCCATGATGTCAATCAGAACCCTTGAAACGATTGGCTCAGGAAGGGACACTTGGCCAAAAGTCAATCAATCAAGACCTCCCTGGAACTCTTCTGCCACTGTTATTCTGAAAGCCCTTGTGGTCCCACTGCTGTAGCTAACCAAAAGGCTGCAAGTATGGGATGCTATTTTGACCACCATGAGGAGATGGCTGGTTCAAGAAACTGAGAGAGAGAGACCCAGAATGCTATAATTAGCAGCCCACTGATATTTCCAGCGATCAAGCCAAGAAATCATCTTCCTTGTTGTTTAAGCTAATTTGTGCTGTATTCCTTTCCCTTAAGATTCTTTTATTGTGAGGAGAGACAAAGGAAGTACCAGGTTCCAAAGAACCTCTCAGTGGGCACATGTATTAGAAGATCGCAGGTTATAGGATCTACTCTGTCCAATAATTTACATGTATAGGTAGGCTTTCGATGTTGATTGACTATTGAACATTTCTATTCAAATGATTGTTTCTGTGCATCACCACCTTAGGATTTCTAAGATGTATGATACTCACTGAGCCTTGGGAACATAACAGCATATCATATCACCTCTAGGTTCTTAGAGAACAGTCCGTAAGAGAGATATTCCTGGGGCTCCTGCAACAGATTGAAGACATTCAGTGGTGGTGACAGTGAAGGGACAGCCTTCAGTCACCTGCAGCTCAGAAGAGCCTGAATTTCTCATGTGCAGTTGGCATCCTGCATCACGCCCTTCATCCCAACAGGACTGAGGCTGGTTCCCTAGCAACCGTGCTCCCTGCCTGTCCACCCACCCAGAATTACAGCCAATGCTTCCTCCCTAGGCTCTCTGGGATCACTCCCCAATGCTCAGCTTCTCAAAGTCTCTGTCATCCCTCAACTGTCCCCCAGGAAGCACATTCTCACTCTTCACCTCGCAAGCTTTAGAGTTTATAATGTTCCACTTACCTTTCTTCATCAGATGTTTATGGCCACCCCAGGAATAGGAATCACTCTCTCCACTTATGGACGAGGAAACTGAAGCTCAGAAAAGCTGGGAAACTTTCCTGAGGACACACAGCTCGCAAATGGAGGAGCCAGGGTAAAACAAAGAAAAAAAAATCACTTCATCCTTCAGGGTGCTGTCCTCGTGAATAAGCCGAACACTCACCCACCCTGGCTTCCGGGCTTTGCCAAATCCTTCAGTGATCAGTCTCCACGATTCTTTGGGCCTTCTTCTTTTTCACTGGCCTGGGCTCCAACCCTGCTTCACCTTCCTGGATGCAGCTTCCAAATCGTGTCCCCACCCTCCGAGACCATCTAGCCTCTTCCTGTCCTACTTCGTACCACCAAGGACACATCAGAGGTCACAGGGTCATAGGATGGGACAATCAATGGGACAATGGTTGAAAAGCACTGAATCCCAGAGTAACTGGGTCAGTTAAGTAGTCACTTAAGTGACTCCCAGGGACAAGTTAACAAATAAGTTGACGATAGCAATACACAAAATAATTCAGGCTGGGGCTGATGTTTACAAAACTAATTTGGGTTTTGCAATGAAGAAAACTTGACCCCAGCAGGACTCTGTCCTGACTTCCTGGGGGGGCCGAGGGGAACCTTCCCCCAAGGGCTGGGGTCTTCTGGAGAAACCAGAAGTAAAGCAGATTCTCCACAGGGCACTAAACAAGCAGCAGACTGTGGAAGTGTGTTCAGTTAGACTTATAATCCTGAGAAAAGTGCCAGAAGATGTTCTGTCACCAGGTCAGCCACAGCTATTGTCTGTGACAGGATTGGCCATGCCAAGCCCGATTGCTAGCCCCTGGTGACATAAGTATGTCTGCACACAACAGTGTGTTTCTATGTGAACGCATGTATCTGTGACTGTGTGTAGTTTGGTGATTGCAGCATATAAACTTGCTGTTTTCCTAAGTCCAAAGCAGAATAGTATTGGTCATTTCATTCGGTTCAAACTAACGCTTTAAAAACTGGAAAATTCCATATTCATGAAAGATTTATTCACCAACCTCCACTGAAAATGTGGTTTTCAACACCAACAAGCAACACAGAGGAACTGCTTGGTTTTCAGTTGACAAGTAAAAGAGATGGGACAAAGACAGCGGGACTTGCTCCCAATTACACGTGGTTCCTGGCAGCTGGGCAGCTGAGCGGGTTCAACCGGCACCTGTCAGAGGCACTATCTGCTACAATCCAGTCAGACCCTTTGTGCTGACCCATCGGCCTCATTTGCTGGCAAGATTATCCTGGGCTTTACTTCCCTTTGCTCTTCCCTGTGTGGGAACATGAAGCTCCAGGTCTCAGAGCTCGGCCTGCAACTCCATTCCAGGCTTCCCAGACTGAATGGGCCTTTCCCTTCTTGGCCCCAGCCCCCTTGCTGAGCCCTGTTCAACCCCAGCACACCACAGACCGGCTCTCGCATGTATTTTAAATCTAGGAATTGTCTTTCCAGGAAACTTCTTATTGTGTTTATCTAGGTCTATTCTCCTAAAAAAAAAAAAAAATGTGGGCAGTCATAAGAAAAACTCAAAAGGCAAGAGGGCTGCTTCCAGGGAGAAGCTGGGAGCCCGGCCAGCTCGTGGAGAACCTGGGGAAAGAGGCCTGGCTGATGGCAACCCAGCCATCAAGTCAGCCAGAAAAAAAAGAACTGCCCTTGGAGGAATGAGCCCTAAGATGCCAGAGGAGGTTGAAGGGTCTGATCTGGCTCAGGTGGGATTCTCCAGGAAAAACACCCTGCAGGGACCAACCCCGAATCAGGCCGTGCTGCCCTGCTGGACATCACTATGGGCAGTCAGAGGGAGGAAGGAGAGGTCGTGAGGAGGGAAGGAGGTGGCTAGGGGGAGTCACCAGACTGATGCAACTGGCTTTGCAATACCGTCTGTGCCTCCCCACTTCTTAAAAAGCAGGTCATCTCACCAAAACAAGGCCCTTTATCTTGGTGATGTTGCATAAAGAGTGCAATATTTAAGACATTCATGCTAAAAAATTATTCATCGCTCATCTGAAATTCAAATTTAACCAGTGTCCTGTATGTTACCAACAACATCAGGAGGATGGAGAAGCTCCCAGAGGGATCACAGAACCAAGTGTCCAGCCTATGATGACAGCCAGCCCTGGATCCTCACCACACACATCTATTCCCAGAGGCTAACCCCACAGTGCAGTCAGCAGGTGAGAGACAAGCTCACACTTCAGAGCAGGATGAGAGGGGTCAGCTCCCCTCCTGATCCCCTGTCTCTGTGCTGCCTGGCACCCCACATCTAGGCTGTGCTCTGGCTCAATTCCTAAACTAAGGGTCTGAGGCTTAGTGATTTAAGTAGCTCCCCACCCATGCCTGCTGATACCAGGAGGCACTGACAACCCCTTCCCCAAAACATAGCATCAGAGTCACACTTCTGGTCTCTAGAGAAGGATTCTTTTGGGGGGGGGAGGGCACCAGGGATTGAACTCAGGGGCACTCAGCCACTGAGCCACATCCCCAGTCCTATTTTGTATTTTATTTAGAGACAGGGTCTCACTGAGTTGCTTAGTGCCTCACTTTTGCTGAGGCTGGCTTTGAACTCCTGATCCTCCTGCCTCAGCCTCCCCAGCCACTGGGATTACAGGCATGCACCACTGCTTCCAGCTAGAGAAGGGTTTTTTTTTTTAATGGCTTTTTCTTTTAATTTTGATTATGATAGCTATAAATGATTATGCAAATGATTCTGTGAAAAAAAGAAATGGAAAATAGAGGCAATTCTGAATAAAAGAACATGACACAACCCTATAGTGCCGAGATGTTCTCTTGCAGCCTTTTTGATTTGCATATACGAACTTTCCACGTAGCTGGCACCCTAATGCATGTTCACTTTTTTCTTGCTTTTTCACCCCATTGTTTTGCATTTGACATCATCCCATTCGATTCAACTTTACTCGATAAATATTTTACCAAATGCCTGCTCTTGCCCCGCGCTCTGTGTAGAGCAGTAAACAAGGCTGACACTGCCTCTGCCCTGGGCTGCCTGTGGTTCAGGGTGGGAGTCAGACATTGAACCAGGGAGATAAGAAGTGAATTAAATAGTTGCCCACAAAGTCTGCCACATAATTTATCCTACACTTTGCTTTTGAGGAAATGTGTTCCTAGAAGTACAGAAAGAATATGGTAAAGGGTTGTATTCAAAGTAAATATTTTGTGTATGACGCTAAGTGGTAGAATGTTTCAGTGAAAATAAAGAATGCCTCTTTGCAGTTCAGTCTCGACTCATGTGAACCCTGGAGCTTCCCAGGATTAGTACTTAATAAAGCACTTAATAAATAACAAGGGATTGTGACTCAATAAAGCACCATAAGGACTGTGGGGTCAAAAATTCTTCTACCACACAATTTTTGGTGACTGCCTACTGTTCCTTTGTGTGGAAAGACCATAAATTCTTTAATCCCTTATTCTGAACATTTATGTTGATTCTAAACATTGACTTTTTTCATAACAACAGACTTTGTAATTGAATATCTGTATGAGCAAACCTGATTATTTCTTTGGGATAAGCTGTATAGTCTGACTACTTAAACAACAAGTCCAGGAGCAGAGACTAGCCAGCTGTACACAACCCTTATTTTTTTTTTATCCTCTTGGACACACACTGGAGTGCGTTTCCCAGCCTCCTTTGTAGTTAGGAGAAGCTATGCCACTCATCTCTGGCAATGGAATAGAGGTAGCAGGGATGCTTCCACCCACTCTGGGCCTGGCCCACAAAGCCTTCAATACGTGCTTCTCCGTTTTCTTTCCACTTTTAAGAGTCTCTAGAAGCCATTAGTTGAAAATGGAAGAGTCACTAGAGAAAGGAACTGTGCCCTTGAATTGCCATTTGGAGAAGAGCTACCCACTTTCTGGTCAGCATGAGCTGTTCGGACTTTGTGTGAGCCAGAAATGAACCTCTATTGTGTTATGCCACTGAAATCTGAAGTTTCGTCTGTTACAGCAGCTGGTGTTAACTGATACAAAAGTCCTGCACTTACTTCTCCTGCCTGATTCCAGTCCCTATTGGGCATCTCAGGTGGTAGTAATGCAGCAGCCCCCATTCCAAGTTTCCCTCAACAGTCACCTGTGCACTTCCCTAGTTTCACCACAGGGACCAGGGCCAAGCCTTGTTCTTGACGGTCTTCCTTCCTAGGGAGTTGGCACAAAATTGGGGCCCTAGGTGAAGCTGCCTTACCCAGCAACTCACCTAGAAAGACACCTTAGTGAAAGCTGTCAACTGCCTGTCCTGGGACTTGCCTTATAAAACCTCTGCATCTGGAAGACCAGCCCCAATTTTTTTTTTCATACAGCAAAAAGAATCTACACAAGTCACAGGATAAATAATCCTACAGATTACAGATCACCCATTCTCCAGGCTCACTGGTGCTCATTCTGTGCCTAGAAACCTCTCTGGCATTTTGTCTTTAATGTCTCTTCCACCAGAATGCAAGATGGACCCTGCCGCCCTATTCTGAGTTACTACAAATGGAAGCCTCTTAATATGAATGTCTGGGGCTCAGATCAGCAGGGTAGAGGGCTCTGCAATCCCTCTCCAAAAGCCTCTGCCTCCCACTGTGTATTGGGGAGCAAGCAATCTCTGTAGTTGGGAGACAGATGCTCTGTGCTCTTTCAGAGACAGTGCAGGCTGGCCCATCATTGTGCTGTGACTGCCATCTTGTGGCAGAGGCAGAGTAAGGCAGTGGGCGCCCCTGGTAGGCACCATGAATACCCAAACCATGATCCGCCTCCAAAGAGAGCCATGAGAAGATGATCAGAATCAAAAATGCTTCCTCCCTAAGGGATGGGTGCTGGGGTAGAAAAGGGAAATAGTGGGGAATGATAGTGACCAAATTATATTGTTATACACTATTATGTACAACTACAATGCACCAATAAAAAATGATAAATAAAATGCTTCCTCCCACTGTTTCAAAAAACCCTTTATTTTGCCTACCAAAAAAGTCTGTGCTTTCTTTTTATCATCCTGCAAATAATATGCTTAGGGTATTATCTGAATTCGCTTTTATTTCATTATTATAAAAATGATACATGCACATCGTTTAAAAATTGAAACACTAAACCTTAAATCATCCCAAACCCAGCATTTGTACTTGGGGCTAGTCACTCCATGTCACCCACAAGCAGAAGAAGCAACAGGTCCTACACAGTTCAGAGCTTTGGCTCTGGTGCTAGGCTGCCGGAATTCCTGTCTGTCTCTGCCACTCTGACGTGTGACCTTGGGCAAGTTACAACTCTGTGTCTCTCACTTCCTCATCTTAAAAAAAAAAATCATTGGGGCTGGGCGCAATTGTACACACCTGTAATCCCAATGGCCTGGGAGGCTGAGGCAGGAGGATGATGAGTTCAAAGCCAGCCTCAGCAAAAGTGAGGAGCTAAGCAACTCAATGAGACACTGTCTCTAAATAAAATACAAAATAGGGCTGGGGATGGGACTCAGCGGTTGGGTGCCCCTGAGTTCAATCCTTGGTACCACCCCCCCAAAAAAAAAAAAAAAAACAGGAATTGGAAGAGAATAAACAGGAATAACAGCGGCACCTCTCTCAGTATCCAGGAAGAATTCCTCTATAGATACTCAGCACAGTGCCCCCAGCACATGGGAAACCATCTTGTTGGTCTTTATTGTGATAGATGGATGAACAGGCAGAGAATGAGATAACACTTTTAGGAGAAGACTGCTTAACTATTTAGATTACTTTAAAAAAATAAAAAATAAAACTTTATTTTATTTTTATTTATTTTTTTTTAAAGAGAGTGAGAGAGGGGGAGAGAGAGAGAGAATTTTAATATTTATTTTTTAGTTATCGGCGGACACAACATCTTTGTTTGTATGTGGTGCTGAGGATCGAACCCGGGCTGCACGCATGCCAGGCGAGCACGCTACCGCTTGAACCACATCCCCAGCCCAAATATTTTTATTTATTTTTATGTGTTGCTGAAGATCGAACCTAGTGCCTCACACATGCCAAGCAAGTGCTTTACCACTGAGCCTCAACCCCAGCCCTCAGATTACTTTTAAACTTTAAAAATAGTGCTTGTAAGGGCCTGGGGATGTGGCTCAAGCGGTAACGCGCTCACCTGGCATGCGCGGGGCGCTGGGTTCGATCCTCAGCACCACATAAAATGTTGTGTCCGCCAAAAACTGAAAAATAAAAAAATTCTCTCTCTCTCTCTCTCTCTCTCTCTCTCTCTCTCTCTCTCTCTCTCTCTCTAACAAGTGCTTGTGAAAAGAACAGGGAGAGAGAACCCATAAGTATAGAGACTAGGAACCACCGAGTATCTGAATCCCCAGGGACCACAGGTGATCACTCACTCTGTCTCCCAGCTGGTTCTTAATCCCCATCTCCCCGCCCCCCAGGGATGTTTCCTTTAGCTGTAGCAGTTCCCACTTAAGCAGGTCTCACTCAGGAGGAACAAGGAGTGCTAATAGCCAATTGGGGAGAGTTAGAATCAGGAGAGAAAGGAGTAGGTGAATGGCGGGGGTGCCTTAAAAGCCACTCCCAGGAGATGCCCACACTGAGAAGTCACTCTGGCCTACTATCAACAGACATGGTCCACCATGGAGCACCCACTCCCTCAATACCTACAGAAAGTACTGGAGACACACCTGTCACCTTGCCTTCTGGGTTAGATATCATCATCCCCATTTTGCAATGGGGTAAACTGAAACTTAGAAGGACAAGGCAACTTATCTAGGGTAAGTAGTAGAGCTGGGATTGAAATTCAGGATCCGGGCTGACTGACCCCAGAGCCCATTCAAGTTCTTAGAACAAAGGGAAAGCAGAAACCAACTCATCCGAGGAACTCTAGAAAGCTTACACAGCCGGCCCCAAGACACATTCCAGGAGAGGAGTCCCAGAGGCATTTTGACATTTCCTTCTCAATCTTTGCCTCCTTTCATAAGCATAGTGTCAAATCATGGCCATCTAGAATCCTCATAAAACTGGTTGGTTGGTTCACTCCAAAAAGATAACTCTTAATTTCTCCACCAAGAGTCATGTGTTAAAAAAAAAAACAATCATCACAGATCATCCAGAAAATGCAAGATACCAGAGTGGAAGCCAAAGTGATTCCCTCTCTCTGGCCTCTTTTCTACAAGCTATTGCCAACCCAGCCACCAACATGTTCAATGGAACAAGCAGGAGGCCATTAACCTGAGGCTCCCTCTTACTTCAAGTTCTTCAGTAACAAACCATAACCTAACTTACTATGTAAACAAACTGAAATCTAATTTAGAAGTATATATATATATATATATATATATATATATATATATATATTTTTTTTTTTTTTTTTTTTTTTTTTTTGCCACAAAAAGGCTAGATTTCAGCCAACGGATCATACTCAAATGTGGCGAATGCCTGGCTGTCATCAGTCAAATTTCTCTACTTTGTTTCCACCTCTGGCCTTTAAGAGTTCTTGGCTCACATTGTTGGGCAGAGCTCTGAGCCTCTTCCGACTTTGAGAGCTACTCAATTCATGAATTTTTCTTTGCTCAAATAAATTATTAAATTTACTTTGCCTCAAATTTTTCTTTTAATGAAAAGTAACTGACCTTTCTCAAAAACAGGGCCAAGCTTGCTGCTCTCTCACCCAGCACCCTTCCCCCGTGCCCTATCAACAAAGAAGAAAGCTTGTGACCCCTCGTGTGGCATAGAAACCACCAGGTTTATCCTCCCCACAGGAGTATGTATGTTATGAATGTCTCTCCACCCCACACTTCCTCAGAATAGGAACAGATACCCT